CAACCCCCTCCCCCCCCCCCCCCATCCGCTCCTCTCCTTGAACTCTTTAACTTTTTAATGATAAGACAACACCCCACCAAGTGTGGCAGGGCTGCCCAGTGGACAACTCGAGGACAAAAGGAAAGTGGAAAAATGGCAGTTCTGAGGTAATACCCAGTACAAAAGTCAGGATGGAAACTGCTACTAATGAACAGCTCTGAAATGGATTTCTGTTCACGGGCAGAAAGGCACAGAAAACGAGAACTGTTTTTTGCTAGCGGTTAAACATTCAAGGGTCTAGAAGGCCGGGTGTGTGTACACACAGGTCTGTGTGTATACCTCGTCCACCCGGTGGAGATGAGGACGCTATGCACGCATGTAGGCAGGTGTGTGCACATGCATGCAGACGTGCACAGGCACAGAACTCTGTCTATGGACAGAGACTAGGCGCGGCCTCTTTAATCCTGGCTGAGGAGAGAGATGACCGAGGGCCAGCCACTCATGGGTGGGAGGGATTCAGCAGAAGAGGGAGGGGTGTCCCAGGTGGTCATACCTGAACGGGTGAGCCACCTACAGACAGGTTCTCACGGTGCAACTTGGAGCCGGAACAGCCCTGGCTCTGCCATCACTCCCTGTGGGATCTTGGGTGATTATCTCAATGAAGAAAGACTATGTGGTAGTAATAACAATAATAAAGATAATAGCTGGGCTTGACTGAGCCCTGATGGTATGCCAAGGGGACAGGGCACTCTTCTTCTTGGCTCTGCAAGATGAGGGTAATTTTATGCCTCCCAGCTGTGGGAAGGGAGGTGAGGTGAGGTCCAGAAAGTCTGACCCGCGAATGCCTGGTACACGCTCCCCCTCCCTCCCACGCTACCCCGGGACCAGGAGGGATACATACGGTTCGAGTTGAGTCTGTCTGCTCCCCCGAGGGCATTGAAAGCCCCTTGGACGTTCTGGACCTGTGGAGAAACAGCAGAGTATCACCAGGACACCTGGCCATGGGGGACGGGGAAGGTGCAGCCTGCCTGGGGAGGTCCTGGGGCCGGGCCTGTGTGTACATGGGGATCCAGCCAGTCCATCTTAAAGGTTGTGAGGAACAAGATCGAGCACAGGATGGCGCACAGTGAGTGCCAGCATGCAACCTCACTCTGTGCCAGCTCTGTGCTGGGCTGCTGCTGGCTGCTACCGAGTCGGCTGACTCACAGTGACCCGATGGAGAACACACGCAACGTCGCCAGGTCTTTCACTAATTTCCAAAACTGTATCAGATAATGTTCTGGGTGATCCAGCATCACTTGGGGCTCATAGATACTTGTTGATCTTTTGTTTTTTAAAATCTTACAAGTTTGAAAATGGCCAGTGTATGTGTCACAGAGGAGAGGAGTAACATGGCACCCACTGACCTCCCCGGAACAAATCCTTCTTACTCTGCAGGGCTGAGTCACCTCCCCTTGGAAGCCCTCCTTGATCTCCCAGGTTGGAGGGTTCTGTTATCCTTGTTGCTGTTAGGTGTCGTGGAGTCAAGTACGACTCATAGCGACCCTACGAACAAAAGTTCTGAACCCTGTCCTATTAGTACCCTTTGTTCTATTACCACCACAGGTCACGGTCAGTTTGACTCTAATGGTGACCCCCTGCGCATCAGAGGAGTCCTCTGTTCTATGGCATTTTCAGGGACTGAGTTTCAGGGTTGTTTTTTTTTTTAATTTTTACAGCATATTCTTTGCATTTAATTTTCTCCCCTGTTCATTTATTGTTGCACATTTTCCTCCCTGCCTACTCCTCCCCCAGTTCATTTTTCTCTTTGAAGGAAAAAAAAATTTTTTTCATTGTTGTATAACTCCCACCTCCCCCAGACCACAGTCCACTTTAATATGCATTTCTTTTTCTGTAATCTTGTTCTGGGACTGAGTTTTTGAAAGTAGATCACCAGGCCTTTCTTCTAAGGCGCCCATGAACGTACATGAACTTCCAACCTTTTGGTTAGCAGCAAACGCATTAACCTTTTCACCACACAGAAAGCCCTTTGATCTATAATGATTCTATTTACACTTTATTTTTTCTTTACTTGAGGATAAGGGCCTTGTATTGTTTATTCATCACTCTAACCCCAGGGCATGGCTCAGAGCAGAGGTTTCCGGAAGGGATCTGATGAATACATTACTGTCTGAGAAGCTGTAAAGGAAGACCTGGGCACAGACACACCTGGGCTTACGAGCTGTGTGATCTTATGAGACAAACTGCTACTCTGGCCCAGTTTCCTCATCCCATCCTGCATCCCTAAGGAAGTTTTTGTGCGATCAAACAAGGCACCATTCACAACACTGCCCATTAAGTGAGCAAGTGCCCCGCAGGCTGATGGTATCAAAGGTTCCCTGTGTGCAAGGACTGTGGTGTGGCACAAAGACTAGGTTCAAATCTTGCTTATGTCATTAGTGAGCTTCATGACCACATGTACGTGATGCCCACTCTCATGCCTCAGTTTCCCATGAGTGTATTGGGGTGCATTATGGGCTATTGTGAGGATCAGGTGAGTTGATGGGGGCAAAGGTATGTAGGGTGCCGCCCAGTATTTGGTATATGGAGGACCTGGGCCCCACTGCTAGCTTGTGTTTGGTCACCCCAACCACTGTGAGTTGTGACCGCCCCCACATCTGTCTCTTCTAACACAGTGAACTCCCTAAGGGCTGGCAAGCGGTTTTATCCTGCAGAGTCTGGCATGGACTGAGGGCAGACAACAACAGTAACTCCAACAGTGGAAACAGCTTCCTCCTTTGAGTACTCAGATTGTGCCAGGCATTGGTCTGTCAGCTTTAAACAGAAACTCATTCTCACAATGTTATGCAGGCGCTACCATTATTGTCCCCATTTCACAGATGAGATAACTGAGCACCAGAAAGAACACTTTGCTCTACATAATTATGTTGCTAGGAAGTGGTAAAGTCAGACTAGGAAACTGTGCTCCCAGCCTCCACACAACAGTTCACCAGATGGAAGGGCTGGAGGGAAATCCTGGGGGACTGTGCCTGCAGGGGGTGAGTCAGCAGTCCTGTGGGGGAGAGGGGGACAGACCCCCGTTCCTAAACCCAGTCTCCACGAGAACCTCGGGACTGCCAAAGGGGATGGTAAGGAAGTGGCCAGGTCACTCACCAGTGGAAGAAAAGACAGGAATTTATGTCATGTGCAATGTACTCGAAGGACATGAGTATACTTCAGGGACAGTACACACTCAGGTATGTGCATGAGAGGCTACAGTTGGATTCAAATCCAGTGTCTGGATTCAAGCACAAAGTATTCAACGTGTGCATCACTTTTCTCACCTGTAAAATGGAACAGTAACAGTGCCTATTTCTTGGGCTGCTGAGAGACTGAAAGAAGATAGCTTTAGTGGAGTACAGCACTCGGTGTTCAAGCCACACCAGGTGAGTGGGCCGGTGCACGTGTCACATGAGTGAATGGAGGGAGTGGGTAGGAGCGTGCTGTGTGATGGAACTTCAGAGTCCAGCCCTGGCGGGTCGGCTGTGTCTGAGTGTTGTGTGTGTAAGGATGACAGAGCTGGTGTGGGGAACCCTGGAGAGCGTGCTGTACACCGGTGTGTGTGTGTGTGTGTGTGTGTCCCTGTTTAGGAATGCACACACTAGTATATGTATCCAGGCACATCTTTGTGTTACGTGTCAGTCTGAGCAGAACTGTGTGGACACCTGTCCTAACAGTGCTCGTGTATGACTCTGTGGGCTCATGTGCACATCCCCGTGGCTGGAGAGCACCCCCAAGCACCTTCAGTCAGGGAGCAGGTATGCGTAGACTGGAGTCAGGACTCTCTGGGTTCTGATCCAAACGTGGCTGTGTCCTAACAATGGCGTTGGAGTGACGACATCCCCTTCCAGGGCCTCATTCTCTCGTCCTTATCCCTCCTCGCAGTGAGGCTGCAGTAAGCAGGCAGGCCTGGTTATTCACCTGGTTATTCTACTGCACATTCACAGCGGACAGAGAACCAGTCGGAGCTGCTGCCCCAGGAAAAGCGGCCGTAAGGACCCATCAATGGCAGCTCCTGGGTGTCTTCCTCAAGACAAGACTCAGGATACTTTCATATACCAAGGTGTCCCTATTTAATGGGTGTGGACACTAGGCAGGGTGGAAGAAATGGCAAGAGCCTGGATGCCAGGGGGTCCACCAACGCCTATGAGTCCATGTCTCTGGGATCATGAGTTTCAAACCGGTGTTTCAAGCTGGGGCATCGGTGAAACTGCAGCCAGGGCTCTCAAGGAGGTAAGAGAGCAGCTATTTGACGAAGCAGAGCCTCAGATGGGGCAGGTGTCCTCTTCAGAAGACTCGACTTGTGCCCACAGAGAGCACAGGGGAAAGTGACACAGCCCCTGAAGGCCCCCCCACCCCCACCCGCCACATCATCCTGTATGTTCCCTGCTTACCTGCAATGTGTCTCCAAAGGAGAGCTTGTGGATTATATGTGTCATGTCCGGGTTCTGTGGCTGGGCGGTGGCGCTGTGTGTGGACACGTGGAAGTTGCCTGGGACCTGGGGAGAGATGCAGATGTCAGGCATATGGTTAACTGTGCCAGAAGGTGGGGGGCAGGGCTGGGCGCTGAAGACAAGCAGATCTGGGTTTAAATCTCAGCCTGGATATTTCCCAACTGTGTGGCTCAGGGAAAGTCACTGCCCCTCTCTGCCCCTCAGTGTGTTTATCTGTAGAATGGGGAAATAGGAATAGTTACTCAGAGAAGTGCCTGTGCCTTCCCAGTGAGAGAACATGTATAAAGCACACAAACTTCCCACTGGGGCTGCTCACCTCCAACCTCCATGGACTCTGGGCTGCTGACCCAACAGAGGGCTAGGTTTGCGGATCAACAGAGACTTCCTTGAACCCCAAATCAAGATCACCTCTGACCCAGCTATGCCTCAATTCCCTGGACTGTGGGAGTCCTGTCTAGAAACAAGAACTTCGTTTCTTTCTGGGTCTGAAGGCCCATGTGAAACCTCACCTGTGAGGGGTTTTAAATGACGACATGTGGAATGAATGATGCCAATAACCGTGAGGTGTTCAGAGCCCCATGGTCCTGTTATGGTTCCCTGCTTCAGCAAGGCCTCTGCCCTCCTTCCTTGATTACAAGCTCTGGTGTTATCCTGGGCTCTTTACTGTCTCTCACCCGGTCTCCGGTCAGCTCCCCCTTCAAAAGGTCTCCAGCAGTTGGCCTCTCCTCATGCCTTCACAGCTCCATCAGTCCAAGGTCTTCTCTCATTGATGGCAGCTTCCTCTCTGGGCTCTAGCTTCCATTCTTGTCCCCCACTCCCCCCTAGGCCATCCCCTCAACAACAGCCAGAGGGGCCCTTTGAACTCTTCCCTCCCCTGCTCAGCATCCTCCGAGGTGTCTGCTTCTCTTTGGGTAGACATCCAGGTCTTGATAGTGGTCTATAAAGATGGGTGTGTTCTGGCCACCAGGACCCGTCCTCTGCCTCATATGCTGTGGTCTATCCTCTGGTCACGCGGGGAAGTGTTCAGCATGGCTACCTCAGACCTCCGCATCTGCCACTCTCACTTCCTGCAACCTTCTCCCCCACAACTCTCCTCACCTCCCTCAGATCTCTGTTCAAGTGACACCTTATCAGAGCGGTTCCGGCCTTCCCCCTCTGCTACCCTTACTTTGTCCAGAGCGCCTGGTATAGAGTCTGGCATCCTGTCCTGTTCTCATCTGACTCCACGCTAGCAGGGGGTTTTGTCTGTTTTGTTTCCAATTGTATCCCACAGCCTAAGGCGGACAGCAGGTTTTCAGAAAATATTTAACGAATAAATGGATAGCATTTAATCCTTGTAATGGACTTGTTGTGTTAGATGACTGGCACTTTTCATTTCACAGATGAGGAAACAAAAGTTCACAGCTGTGAAGAAACTTGTTGAGGTCACATGTCAAGTAAACTGCAGAGCCGAGGTTTGAACTTCGTTTTTAGCACTATGTGATTCACTCTCCCACTGATGCCTCGAGACCCTTTGCTGCAGATGGCCCATGAGGTTGACTGTTAAGGAGGTTCCAAGTATGGGGAGATGACCCAAATGAGCCTGGCCCGAGGTGCACCTGTGAACTGCTGACACACTTGGGGCACAGTGAAAGATCAAATTATTTACCCCGGGCCAGAGGACTGCACAGACCATGGTGCAGGCCATGGAGGGGCCCCAGAGTCAGCTGGGGCTTGGGTGGGTTCCAGAAGCACTTCTCAGGGGAAAGGAACCACTGCAATAAGGCTCCAAAAGTTGGTCTCCATCAGCCAAGAAGAGAGAGAAGGCATATGGGCAGAGGGAACAGATGGACAAGCATGGAGGCCATAGACTGCCCAGAGTGCAGGGTAGTTAAGAAACCAGAAGAGTCTAGCGTTGCTAAAGCTCTGAAAACCCCTAAAAAAGGGGCTTGGGGTCGTGAACAGGAAATGAAGAGGGATAAGATGGACTTGTGGAGAGAAATCAGTACAACTGAATTCTACCTGTAGAAATGAGTGGGTTGTGTACACGCTGCTATGTATAATTTCAACAAGAAAAAAAAAAAAGAAAACCATTTAAAAAAAAAAAGAGGGAGGAGGGGAAGTTTATTGAAGGTTCTGAATGTCACACTAAATTCCAGTCTTATCATAGCCCAGCGGAACCAGTCAATGAGCTGTCTGACAGGAGGGAACATAGCTCAAGCCCAATTCTCTTTCAAACACAGGGTGGGTGGCCTTCCTGGCAGGAATATCCCATCTCCAGAGGGCTGGAGGCCTGGACTGACAGGGTGATTCCCAGTCTCGGCCTCAGGGAGCTCACAGGCAAGCACATTGAGACTGAAATGGCAGCTCGGGCTGTTCAGTGAGCAGGGGGCCAGACAGCCTACAGGGTCTGGGGAAGAGCAGGATGGACAGCTCAGCAGGAGACCCTTCAAAGTACAGCAACTGCTTTGGGACTTCATGTTTAGTCTCCTTCCCACTTGGGGAGCCTTGTTGTTGTTATGTGCTGTCGAGTTGTTTGTGACTCATAGCGACTCAATGTACAAGAGCCCTAAATGCCGCTCTATCCTGTGCCAACCTCGCCATCTCCAACACTCATTCCCACCACCACAATCACAGAATCGATCTATCTCATTGAGGGTCTTCCTCTCCTGCGCCGTCCCTTCACTCTGCCAAACATGATGTCCCTCTCCAAGGACCAGTCCCTCCTTGCAACATGCCCAAAGTATGTCAGACGAAGCTTCAGAATGCTTGACTTCAAGGAGCATTCCAGCTTTACCCTCTCCAGGACAAACCTCTTTGTTCTCCTACCAGTCCATGGTATATTCAACACTCTTTTCCAGCACCACAGCTCAAAGGCATCAATTCCCTTTCTATCATCCCTATTCACTGTCCAACTCTCCGATGCAAAGCACATTAATTGTGAAGACTATAGCCTGGATCAGGTGCACCTTAGTCTCCAGCCTGAAGTCATTGCTCTTCAGTACTCTTGAGTACTGCTGACTTTCCCAATGCAATTCGTCTCTTGATTTCCTGGCTGCTGGTACCAAGCGTGTTGACTGTGGAGCCAAGGAAACTAAAATTGTTAACTATCTCAATCTCTTCACCATCCATACTGAGGCTGCCAATTGGCCCAGTGGTGAGAATTTTTGTTTTCTTGATGTTGAGCTTCAATCCATATTGAAGGCTGCAGTCCTTGACCTTCTGCAGCAAGCGCTTCAGGTCCTCATTAGTTTCAGCAACCAGGGTTGTGTCATCTGCATAACGCAGACTGTTGATGACTCTTCCACCAATCCTGATGCCACATTCCTCCTCGTACAGCCCAGTGTCTCGGATGATCTGTTCTGCATATAGATTGAAAAGGTATGGAGACAGGACACATCCCTGACGTACACCCTTCCCAATTTTGAACCATGTAGTGTCTCCTTGCTCTGTTCTGACGACTGCCTCCTGGTCCAAGTATAGGTTTCGCATAAGCAAAATCAAATGTTCTGGGATTCCCATTCTTCTCAGAGTCAGCCATAGCTTGTGTCAGACATTCCTCTGGTTTTCTCTCTTTCTGCCAAGATCCATCTAACATTAGGAAGGTTAATAACCATTAAGGTTACTGGGAGGATTAAATGGGCAAAATAACTGGATGGTGGTATTGGGCTGGGTTTATAGAACAGACTTAAATTTGCCATCAGGGCAAAACAACATAGCCATGGACCTTCTAGAAGTAAGAATGACACATACAAAGAAAGGTTGGGCAATGGGGAAAAGCCCACTGTCCTTTTACAATTACCTATTTGGTTTTACTTACAGAAATAATACCTGGGTGCATTTTCCCTATAAAATCCTAACATGATGCAGTGAGAATTAAGGTCCAAGGACTACCAGCCCTAGAAGTGAAAAAGCTGCTAGCCATCCAACTGTGTCCTTCCGGGTCCAGAGTGGTGACATAGAGTCCCTGGACTGAGCCCTGGGCAGAGGTTAGAATCCAGTGTGGGGCCTGGGCCTCTCGCTCCCATGCACCTGTTCTCCGCTGGCCAGCCCCTCGAGGCTCTGACTCAGTCACTGACTTCCTGCCCCACACGGAATTCATCACAGGTGGCTGACTCATGCCTGCACACTTCGGGTTGAATAAAGTCAAGATGACATTTGCAGAGGCAGTGACTTAGGAACCTACGTCAGCATCTCTGAGGGGTTTTAAAAACACAGCTGGAGTCAGGCCCACCTCCTTGCCCTGTCCTAGCCCCCTCGTGTGGCCCCGGGCAATAGAAGCAAGGTCACCATGTGGTCTCTGGGCTGCTGGGGGGCTGTCTGTGGAGCTTGGAACATACACACACTGACATTTGGCAGGCTAGCTTCCTGATGGCTGGATAAGGAGCTGCTGGGCACGCTGGTCTGATGCTGGCAGACATGGCATGGGGGGGGGGCTGCTGACCTCCACCATGACCACATGCTGTCACCGTGGGCTTCTTTAGTTGACCGCTCCTTAACTTGAGGGCATGCACACACCGCAGAGCAGGATGTCTCCACTTTGACTCTTAGAGATTAAATTTGGTCCCTGTGAAATAGGTGACGGAACCCCAACTCCTGTACCTGGGAACGCCAGCCATTTGGGAAGAGGGTGGGTTTTTTTTTTTTATGGGATGGGGTCGTATCAGTGTCGGAGAGTCCCGAACCTATTTACTTCTGAGCTATAAAGCACAGAGACAAGAAAGCTAAAGACGGGAAGACAGATACCACGTGAAGACAGTTCAGGACCTGAAGAACCTTGAGCTGCAGCAGGTGAGGTGAAAATCTGATAGGAGATGGGTTAGCCCAGGGCTGAAGCAGGGAACACACTCCCCTCAACCCCATGCCCTGAATTCCAACTTCTAGCCTTCTAAACTGTGAGAAAGAAATGTCTTTTCTTCAAAGTTCCTCATTTGTGGAAATTCTGTGATAGCAACAGTAGGAAACTCAGACAGCAAGGGTCGGGGGGCAGAGGATGGCCTAAGCCACGGCCTGGAGTCTACAAACACCACTGGTTTTATCACTTGAGACAGAGATGCCAGCAGGAGATGCCACAGGCAGGGGAGGTGTAGGGGGCTGCCTGTTCAATATCCCAGCTCGTTCATCTCTCAGTGGAGGCCTAAGGGTTATGATGAGCTTTCAGACTGACACAGGCCAGGAAGAAAGGTCTGGCAATCTATTTCCCAAAACCACACAATGAAAACCCCTGGGATCACAACAGTCTAGTTGGCAACTGATGATGGGAATGGCAGAGGCCTGGGTAATATTTTATTTCATTAGGCAGGGAGTTGGTGTGAGCTGGGGGCACTGATTCCAGACTTTACAACAACAACATGAGGGAATTGGCCAAAGGGTGACATTGGTTAAAAGAAGAAACAGGAGTTAGAGGAGGAAATAAATGATACTAAGAGTGTGATCAAGGTGAGGTGGAGGGTGCAGGCTAGGCAACCTTTCCAGAGGGATGTGGGGGACCCGCAGCAGTTCTTCAGGCTGATACAGTGAGGGTGGGACAGTGTCCTGGTGGCAGAGCCTGGGCCCACCATGGATTCCACACACTCTCCTAGGCCTTCTGCCAAGGCCAAACCCTTCAGGTGTGGCCTGCATCCCAGCATCTCTGTCCTTACCGAGGACTGGCTCCCACCCCACCCACCAGCTCCCTGGATCATTCTTCTCGGAGTCCACACAGAACACTGCTCCCCTCACCTCCCGTCCTCACCTGCTGCACTCCATGGCCGCAGCCCTCCCGCTGATAGAAGCTCTTTTCTAGATTCTAGGAGCTGCTCTACTGTGTTTCCTCCCGCTTGCCGTGTCCTGGGCATCTTGCTGTCCCCTTCATTTCATAACTTCTAGATGACGGAAGGTATGAGGACCATCTAATATTTCTACCTGCACTTTTCTTTGGTTCTTAACCTTTGTGGCGCTGCAGATTCTCCACTGGTCTGGTGACTCCTATGCATGAAATGCTTACATTGAAAGCATTTTAAACACTTTGTGAGGAGAGTCGCCTTATATTATTACCATCATCTCATCCTCACCTTAAAGATGTAAACATTGAAGATAAGAAGGGTCAGTGATATGGAAGGTACTGAGTGGTCAAGAAAGGGTGCAGCTGGCACTTGACTCAGGTCTCGGGGTGCCAAACGGTAGTCTTCTCACCACCATGGAAGAGGAGACGATTCAGATGTCAGAGGCTCAAAGTCCTGCCCAGATTTTGAATGCTGACCCCACCCCTACTTGCTGGGGGTTCCACTAGGGGAGGCCTCATGGGTGTGCAGTTACTCCATGCATTTCCCAGGGAAGCAGAGAACCAGGGACAAGGAAGGGAAGGGAGGTTCCCAGGCAGGGTTTTGGTACCTTGTTGATGCTGAATTGCCCTTCGAAGCGGCAGCCTGCCCCATTGTTGAGTGGGATCTTCATTGAGTTGTCGATGTGCCCCACTTCGTGCCTGCCCATCTCATCCTGAATGTCGAGCCCAACCACTGCAGAGCCAAGAACACGAGAATCATGCATACACTCTGCCAAGCGGGATGGGAGCCAGCTTGACTAAGAGGGAGCAGCCATATGATTTTTCTGTTTGCGCCTGCTGTTGGAAAGGGAAACCCAGGGGTGATGCTCTGCTAAATGTGGGGCAGGAGAGGTCCAGAAGGGCAGAGGTTACACCCACGGACCACAGGGCCAGTCAATTGGCGCTCTGGACCCTGGCTCTGCCTTCTACTTGCTGTGTGGCCTTGGCCGAGTCATTTCTCCACATTCGAGCTGCTTGCTTTATAAAATGAAAACAGCAAAACTTGGATGTTCTTCAGAGAATTGTGATGAGGATTAAATAGGAGTATAGAAGACGGCAAGTGTTCAGAGAGTACAAAGTGTTTAATAAATGCTAGCAGTTATTATGACCTCTTAGAATCCGGGCTCATGGGGTTCACAGGCTCATTCAGCCATCATTCATTCACACCTTGCTTTATCCTGTGCATAGAACCAACAGCTTAATGCTGTTGGCTCTCTGAATTGATTCACAGTTGACCCACATTGGGTTTTCGGAGGCTCTAAATTACATGGGAAGAGACGGATCATCTTTCTCCCAAGAAGCAGTGGGTGGATTCAAACCATTCACCTGTGGTGGGCAAGGTAATTCTCTACACTAAGAAAGAAAAGACAGTCCCGACTCTGTAAGAACCTGGGAACTTTTCTAGGTCTTAAGAAAATAAATTAGGAGCTCTGGGGCATGGAGCTCTGATTCTAACGGCAATGTCTCTCGGTCATCTCACTATGACTCAATTTTCTAATCTGTAAAATGGGAAGATAATACCAACTACATTCCCTGAGATGTTGCAAGTGGCAAGAGGGAGGGAGGGCTTGCCTCACAAACTATGGAAATGCAGGAATTCCCCCGGCAGGTGCACTAATGGAGGTTGCACCACAGAGAAAGCAACTAAAAGCAATTTTCAAGTGAGGCAACCTTAGAAGGGAAAAATAAGGAACAAACTGTTCTTCGAAGTGGTGCTGGGGAAGTTAAGGGCTCATCCACAGAAGGGAATGTGATGCAGCAAGTGATGTTCACATGTCTGGGAAATGATGAGGAACAATGAGAAGTTTAAAACAAATATAAGCAGGTCTCATTTGACTCAGCAGTACCGTCTCCAGAAGCCCATCCTTCAGACAAATGTGTGTCTAGACACGTGCTCCGGATGCCCGGGGCAACCTGACAGCTGGAAGTAACCCAGTGCCCGCCAACAGAGATGGGCGGTGAACAGTCCCCTAGGGAAGAGAGTGTGGCAGGTAGAGAGAATAAGCTAATCCTGACGCAGGGCCAGAAGCGGAGAGCAGGGCTGGGAAGCTGTCTGCTTCCTGAGCAAGTCACCTAACAGCTCTGAGCCTCAGTTTCCTCTTTTATCATAGATTACGTTGTGGGAGTTTAAAAAATTAAAACCTAACTTACAACATGCTAGCTGTCCCAGTGTCTTTCATATAGGAGTGATTGTGTGTGAATGTGTGTGTATCTCTTTCTGTATGTATGTATATATATATATATATATGTTTATCAATGTCTCAACAACCTGCATTATGCAGAGCAACCTTGCTTGCTAAAATTGAGAAGGGCTTGAGGCATTTGCTGCAGAAGGTCAAGGACAGCAGTTTAATATATGGATTGAAGCTCAAATTCAAGAAAACAAAGATTCTCACCACTGGGCCAATTGGCAGTATCATAACAGATGTTGAAGAGATTGAGATTCTTAACACCTTCAGTTTGCTTAGCTCCACAATCAACACTCTTGGTACTAGCAGACAGGAAATCAAAAGATGAAATGCACTGGGAAAGTGTGCTGTTAAGGACCTCTCCAGAGTACTGAAGAACAACATTATCAATCTGGAGACTAAGGTATGCCTAATCCAGGCCATGGTCTTCACAATTACTTGCTATGCATCAGACAGCTGGACAATGACTAGGGGTGATAGAAGGAGAATTGATGCCTTTGAGCTGTGGAGCTGGAGAAGAGTATTGAATATACCTAGCTGTGGTGCTAGGAGAACAAACAGGTTCATCCTGGAGAGCGTGAAGCCAGGCTGCTTCTTGAAGGCAAGGATTCTGAAGCTTCGTCTGACATACTTTGGACATACTGCAAGGAGGGACCAGTCCTTGGAGAGGGACATCATGCTTGGGAGGTTGGAGGGACAATGCAGGAGACGAAGACCCTTGATGAGATGGATTGATTCAGTGACTGGGGTAATGGGGGTCGGTGTGTCAGAGACAATAAGGTTGGCTCAGGACAGGGCAGGGTTCAGAGCTGTTGTACAGGGTTGCTATGAGTCACAAGTGACTCATCAGTACATAACAACATATATGCGTATATATGTATATATATCTATTAATATCTTCATCTTTTTTGTGGGTAAGACAATGTTATGAATTCAAGAATACCTATAGGGAACCTGAGGCACACAGTGGTTAAATGATTCATTAAAAGGCCTATAGCTGAGAATGAGAGTTCAAATTAGAATCTGTGGAGTCTTGCTCCAAGCCCACACTTTTAGCCACTCTCTACAACTTCTCATGTCTTCTTTCCCCTCCCCTCCAACTGGCAAAAATAAGTATTACAAAACATTTGCAAAGTTAAGAATTTTTCCACGTAGTATTCAGTGACACTGCTTGTGTTCATCGCATCACAGCTATCCCTTTCCAAATTATTCCACCAAGTAAAACAGAAACTCAGCGTCCCTTAGCAAGGCCTCCTCCTTTCCCCACCCTTCCATCCACGGTAACCACGAAGACATTTTGGTCACTATGCTTTTGACTATTCTGGATATTTCCTATATATGGAATAAGACAGTATTTGTCCTTTGTGACTGACTTATTCCATTCAACAGTGTTTTAGAGGTTCATCCATGTTGTAGCATGTGCCAGGGCTTCATTTCTCCTTACGGCTGAGTAATATCTGGCTGTATGAATGAATCATGTTTTATATATCCCTTCATCTGATGAAGGAAACTTGGGCTGTTACTGCCTTTCAGTTGTTTGTGAGCAGAGCTACAACAAATGTGGGCATGCAAGCACCTCTTACTTTTCCCTTAAATTTTGTTACTGGTGTTATTGAGAATTTGCACATAAACACACTATTTCAAGTTTTTCCCTGCACAATTTAGTAACACTGATTACATTCTTTGAATTGTACAACCATTCTCATCATCTTTTTCCTGTTCATTAACATAAAACTTTGGCCTCCTATGTAAGTAGGGAGCTTTGGGCTTAGTGTGAAGGAGTTACGTTGCCAACCCTAAGGCACGTGGTTCGAATCCACCAACTGCTCCATTGGCAACCTCCTCCCACATGATTTACTGCCTTTGATAACCCAAAAGAGGGTCAGCTATGAGCTGGTTCTGACTCATGTACATAACGGTAACAATCACCACCACCACCACAAATGTACGTGAAAGCTGGACAGTCTATAAGGAAGACAGAAGAACTGATGCACTGAATTGTGATGTTGGCAAAGAATAGTGAATATACACCATGGGCTGTCAAAAGAAGGAACAAATGTCTTGGAAGAAGCGTAATTCCCTAGAAGCAAGAATGGTGAGACTTCATTCAGTGGACACAATATGAAGAGGGTGCAGTCTCTGGAGAAGGATATCATGCCTGATAATGTAAAAGGTCAATGAAAAACAGGGCGACTCTCAATGAGATGGATTGACACTGGGCTGCAGCAATGGGTTCAGTCACAGCAGCAATTGTGAGCTGAGATGGGACTGAGCAGTGTTTTGTTCTGTTGTTCTGGTCACAGTGTCTAAGCTCTCAACTACTTACCCAAAGGTCAGGAGTTCAAACCCACTAGCTGTTCCACAAGAGAAGGGAAAAATGTGGCAATCTGGTTTGGGTATCATCCTCAAATAGAGATAATTTTGTATCTCTTTTTAAAATTTGCACACTTTTCCTTTATTTCTATGTTTTGGTTAGCACCTTCTAACACAAAACTGTGTAGAAGTGGTCAGAACAGGCACCTCTGTCTCATTCTCAATACCATGGAAAAAGCTCTCAGTCTTTTCCCATTAAGCGTAACATTGGCTATTTACCTTGCTGATATGTCCTGAATCATACTGAGGGATTTCTCTTCTATTTCAATATTCTTTAGAGTTTTCATCAAGAAAAGGTATTAGATTTTATCACATTTTTTTTTTCATCTTAGAAATAATCATGTGGTTCATCTCTTTTGTTCTATTTAGTTGGTATATTATGTTGGCTTATTTCCTTATGTTGAATGGTATTGCTGATATCCATCACATCTTAATGTATCCCAAAGGATTAAGGCAGGGCCTGGCCTAAAATAAGAGCTAGATTAATGGCAGTTGGAGTTATTTACTAATATTATGTATAATAGAAGAATAGCTTGCAAAAGGTTCATTGAACAAGAAACTCCAGTAAGGTCCCTGACAGTGGACTCCCCCAATCATGTAAAGAGGAAAAAGTCAACCACTTCTAATACTATACATGCTCGTACACACACAATCACACATGGAGAGTGGGAAGTGGGCCTCAGATGCTAGCAGAGGACTCCTCTGAGGAAGATGACATGCTTCGGAATCAGAAAGGGAACAGGGAGACTTCTCCCTTTTTCTTTATATATATTTCTGTATTTTTAATGTGTCTGTATTTTTAAAAGACAATATATTCTTGTATTACTTGTGTAATAACAAGTATTATTTTTCAAAGCAGGCTATAAAGGCTGTACATGCAACATGATCTCAGCCATGCTTAAAATGCACAGAATGGAAGGTCAACCAGAGGAAATTATGTCAAGACGTCAACCAGCACTAGCACTAGGTGGCGGGATCACGATTCATTTCTGTTCTCTTCTGTTTTCCTGATTTTTCAAAGGAACCATAATAAGTATTCATTTTTTTAAAAAAAAATAATAATAAAATTTGAAGTTCTTTTTGAAGAGCCAAGGTGCAGCAGGCCACCAGAGCCTGTGGTCCAGGTGGAAAGCGGGGTGGGGGCGGCACAGCCAGCGACCCGAGGCTCACCCAGCCTCTGCAGGGTCACTGCTGGGAGCTGGGCCACAGCCTGAACCACATCCCTCTCCACCCCTGATCCACCGCTCCCACTCTTCTGTCCTGACTAAGAATTTCCTAGTTCCAAAGGCACAGCCAACTCCCGAGTTCTGAGAAGCTTCCAGATGAAGTATTTTTCTAAGAGAAAAAGAAAATACAAAACCAAGCTATTTCAACAAGTTCCCTGGATTGGGGCCCATGGTGGATGCAAACCTGTGACGTACTTCCCAGCCACCATAGACTACAGAGAGCAGTAACAGGCCAATTCTCTCCCTTATCTCCACTCGGAGACTGACTTGATGTTCTATCCTCAGTCATGCCCTGTACTAGGAAGGGAGTAGGTGGAAATGAAGGAAGGGGGAAAAGGGCCTGCGGCAGGTGACAGCCAGGCTGAGAGGCGTGAGAGCCAGAACCTCAGGCCAGAGAGCCCATTTTACAGTTGAGGTCACTGAGGTTCAGAGATGTCATTTGAGCCAAGGACCCACAGTTAGAGTGAGCAAAGAAGCCACATCAAACATGAAATGATTTTTCTTTTATACAAGTCATTCTCCTGATTAAAACGGTGAGAAATAAAAAGCAAGCTCCCGGCTCTCTTTCATACAGATACTGCATGAGCTCCGCCCAGCCCTCTCTAACTGGCTGGCTGCACCTGCATTCCAGCGCCTGCAGGTGTTGCCTGTCGGCACAGAGTTCTACCCCTCCAGGTGACAGCTCTTAGCTGAGTGGAACTCTCCTTAACTTGAAAAGCTTGGGAGGCTATTGTGACTCCCATCACCCTTAGCCCACATATATACACATCAGCAGCCATTAGCCAACAATATGGACAATTAACAGCCTGGCTCCTTGTTACTGGATAGGACAAATTCTGGAGTGTAATTCACTCTCCAGAGCTCCTGTGAGGTCAAGTTGAGAATACACTTCAGCTCAACACACATCTTTGCTTATCCTCGTGCCTGTCCTATCTTGCTTTCCTTCCTCCCTTCCAGGCTCCTCCTAAGAGCCCCCTCTCCACTCCTTACTTGCATGAGAAACGCCTTCTCAGGCTTCCCTTCAGAGACCGTGACTTAAATCTGTGACTTAAAATACCCCGACACAAGACTACTTTCTGGAGGTAACCCTTATTAGGAGTCCGCTGCATGCACCTCTTAAGTGTATACACACTGAACAATTCTCAAAGACAGAGTGGGGAGTATCACGTGCTACAGCTCTTTGTGGCTTGCCCTGTAGATGTAAAGCATCCTGGCTGTCTCTCCATTACTGCAGAGATCTGCCGGAAGGAGGTGTCTTACTGGGGATACTCACATTCACAGTGCAAATTAGGCAAACTGATGTTGAGAGTGACGTCAATTTTGCCGCCGCTGTCCTTGTCCGGGTCATCGACGTACAGCTCATTCACGCTGAGAGAGAGACAAACAGAGAGCTTCACTCAGATGGAGCTCTGGTCCTGGCGGCAGAAGACGGGCTGGGGCAACATCATCTGGTGGCCACACATTTGGACAATCCAGCGTTATCTCCCCATCTCAAGATCCTTATTTAAAGACAACTATAAAAGTGCTTTCTGCCATTCAGATAACATTGACAGGTTATGGGCCAAGGAAATATACACTGCTGGAGGATCATTATTTTGTTTACCACAATGGATACAATTTGAGATTAGGCAACTCCACAGATAGCCCCGCCAGCTTAGTCTGGGCAACAGGAGGTGGAGGAGGGCAATATGGAGATCCTCTGGCACACAGATATTCAACAAATGCTTTTGGTCTTAGAAACATGGTCCCTGCCCTCGTGGAGCTTAACACCTCACAAAGCAGAGTGGCAGCACCTGTGCCTAGATGCTGTTGAGTCAGGTTTAATCCGTGTGTGTGTGTGCGCGCGCGCAGAACTGTGGCTGATTTCCAAGCCTTCTAAAGTGCCTTGGGCAAATTCAAACCTCCAACTATTCAGTCGGCAGCCGAGCAGGTTACCATTCCTATCATCCAGGGACTAGAGAGACAGACAGTACATTAACTTTTTTAAGTAAGTATGGTACTAGCAATGCTAGTCAATGCCCTGAGTGGCACTCGCAGGCACTGCCCTTTGGGAAAGGTGGGCAGGGAGGACTTCTCTGGACAGGAAGGAAGATGCGTAGGTGCTGGACTGGCAAGGAGGGGAGGGAAGAGTTCCCCTGACGGCAAGTGCAAACACCAGTGGGTGGGAAGGCAGGGCTCATCTGGGGAACTCAGCGAAGGTCAGCACGGCTGCTGGGTAAAAGGAAGCGTGGTGTGTGATGAAGGCACAGGGCAGAAATCACAAAGCAGGTGGTGCCAGACCAGCGAAATCATGGGGAGGACTTTTAATAATAATGATTAAAAAAAAAAAAGCAACCCAAAACAAACTGTATAAATAGAAAATGGCCTGAGCCCTGCTGGCCTAGTGGGTTAGGGAGTTGTGCTGCCAATGCCAAGGCAGGTGGTTCCAATTCAGCTCCAGCTTCTGAAAACTCACTGGATGGTCAGCTATGAGTCAGTTCCGACTCAATGGCAGAGCTGAGTTTGAGCTGAAATATATATGGAACCATCATTTGCCTTTTCAACATTTTTCACGTGTATAATTGATTAGTTATGTGCTTGACTACTAGCTGAAAGGCTGGCAGTTCAAACCCCCCCAAAGGCATCTCAGAAGTCCTGGTGGGCAATCTGCTTCTAAAAGGTCCCAGGTCTGGACACCTCAGTGAAACACAGGGGGTCACCATGAGTCCCAATCCACTAACAATATCAGCTAAGTTTACCATGTTCAGTCATAATTGTTAACATTGGTGTTTCCAAAATTTCCTATCACTTTTAAAGGAAGCTCAGTGGGACCCTTGGATTTCATTCTGAGCACAGTAAGGCCATTTTTGCACTTGAACTGGATCCCACTGGCTGTGGAGAGGACCAGGGAGAGGGTGCTGCAGGGCCCCAGGAGAGATGAGGGTGGTGGTGGTGGTGATGACAAGAGGGATGGTGGCAGGAAATGTCTGCAAGTGGAGGCAGAAGGACTTGAGATGGGTGAGACATGAGTGGCAGAGGGAGGAGGCACACCAGAAGATAGCTGTGTTTCTGGACCTTTTTGATGGGCTGGAAGAGGTCCAGAAGTGGCAGAAAGAGAGTGGTTCCAAGTTCCATCTCAGTTGTGCTGAAATCAAGGCCTCCTGAGGGGCTGGGGAATGAACATGGCACAGCCACGTCTGTAGCCCACTTCTGAGTCCTAGACAACACCCCACAGAGAGAGGAAATACACTGTCCAGGCCTGGGCGAGTGAGTGTGGAGGGGCCAGTGCTCGAGGTGGTCAGGCAGAAGTTATTTAAAGCATTTATACTCCCTGAGATCCCACATTGGGTGCCACCAAGTTGGCTCTATCTCATGTAGAACAGAAGGGAATCCTGCCTGGCCCTGCACCATCCTCAGTCTCTGCTTCGTTTAAGTCACCTGTTGCAGTCACAGTGCCAATCCAACTTGTTGAGGGTCTCCCTCTCTTTCACTGACTGGCCACTTTTCCAAGTATGTTGTCCTTCTCCCGGGACTAGCCCTCTCGGTAAACACTCTCAAAATACATGAGACTAAGTCTCACCATCCTTCTCCAAGGAACACTCTGGCTGCACCTCTTTCAGGACAAGTTTGTCTAACACAGCTGCCAGCATCACATAGCCATCACAGCACAACAAATTGACAGGCAACGGTGGTCCTGCCCAAAAGTTGCCAAGTAAGGAAGGACTGCTTGAAGTCTAAAAAATCAGACTTCAAGATAGCTTTGTGAGTGACCACTTAAAATTAGGATGTTGTTGTTATGTACTGCCAAGTCAGAACCGACTCATAGACCCTCCTTGCGCGGAAAGAGACTGCTCATCCTTCTTCCTCAGAGCAGCTAGGACCTTGTCTTTCTGCCCTTTATGCAATCAACAAGAAATGGGTGGATTAAAAAAGGCATCAAAGGCTGTTTTGTTGGGAAGTTGATAGGGATATTCTCAGAGATAAGGGCAAAATTGCGAAGTTAATCTTCACATTGCTAACCCAGTGGCCTACTTTGTGGGGAGTTCTGCCTAAACCACGTGTCTCTGGCAGTTCAAATCCACCAGCAGCTCTTCCAGAGAAAGACAAGTAATCTTCTCCTATGCAATTTACAGTTTCCAAATTCCAATGGAGTGTCAGCTGAGTCCGTTCTGACTTGATGACATTTTTTTTAAAGCCCATTAATCCAGAGGAGTCTTAGGTAAGTCAGAAAGGGCTTGCATTAACATTATCCCACCTACTCCTGTGAAATGTCCTGATCCCCATTTGAAAATGAAGAAACAGGGTCAGAAAAGCCAGGTTCCAACCTCAAGCTCACACAGCAGAAAATGTCAGAACTGGAATCCCAATCCAGGCCTGCTGAGCTCCATCCAGGCTTTTCCCTTTTGCTAGCCCTATGTCCTCCTCAGGATCCAAGGTTAAGGGACAAGGGACAAGAGGAAATAGACCTTGTCCTCTAGATCACAGAGCACACGCATGGTGGAAAAGAAGAAACAGGCAGCTGTTGAGTCGACTCTGCCCTATTTGACCTCCACACATACCACTGAGTTCTCAAGGCCGAGACCTTTGGAAGATCACCAGGGCTTGCTTCCATGGGCTTGTACCATCAATCTTTTGGCCAATAGCTGCGTGCTTAACCATCTGTCACTCAGGGAATAGGGCCCAAAACAGAGAATATAAGAGAGCAAACAAACCAGTGGGGGAGAGAGCGCCAGACTACAAAGAAAAGCTTGAGCTTTTTTTTTCCCCCCCAATCCCTACAGCCAAATATTCCTTTTTAGCCTTCAGCACTCAATTCCTATCAGGGTCTTAATTTGCAACTTTGGAGGGAGGCTGAGTAATAAAGTTGCTGAGTGATTAAGGAGATAAGTCACTGAGGGAGGGAGGGCCCAGCCTTCCGACCCAGCCCAGTGAGCTGCTTCCTTGAAGCCTTTCACCTTTCCCACCTGGCCAGGCGTGGCCTGTGCACAACACTGAGGGACTGTGGGATGAGGTCACCCTGCCGATCCTCTGGAGGTGATCTCAGTGAAGAGCAAATTGAAGCCCAGGTGTGGCGCCAAGGTGAGCTCACTCTTTAGGCCTCAAGAGGCCTCTCCCAGCCCTTAATCCCCATTTTCTGAACCAGAAAAAGCAGAGAGGCCAGGCTCCCCAGGCTGCAGGCTGCCTAGTACAAAGGGACTGAGGTGTAGGGTGGAATGGAAATGAAGTGGCCACAGAAGCTTGGGCCAGGCTGCTTATGTAAGGGAAGAACTGGCTGATGCTGGGCTCTTTCTGGAGGATCTGAGGTAAACACGGTTCAATCCCTTGGGCCGCCGCCCCATGAGGTCAGCACAGCCGCTTTCCTCATCCAAGGCAAATGTTCCAGGCTGCTGGCTTCTAGCCACCCTAGTCAGCCCCTCATGCCTGCCCATGCTTCCCCCCTCCCAATTGTCATGGGTATGCCAAGGCAAATTGGCTTTATTGGCCAGAGGTGGGTTGGTTTTATAATGCAAATTGCTAGCCTGCCAGAAATCAGTCCACCTGGAGGACAGTTTTTGTGAATGAACTACTGCTTGGGGACCTTGTGGACTGTCTCCTCTCTTCTTGCCAGTGTAGGCAAGAGAGATAGTGGCAGAGAGAGGTGGGTCACATCACATCCTGGTTTTGCCATTTAGATACTGGGACACTGGGGACAGGCTGCTTCACTTCTGTGAGCCTGTTTCCTGAATTGTAAAACTAGAAAAACTATGAAATTTGAAAACAGGCAAAATTAATCTCCAGTAAAAGAAGTCAGAAGTGTAGTAGTGAGGGTATGAACTGTAAGGAGGAACAAAGGAATCTTCTAGAGCATTGGAACTGTCTTTTATCATGATCTGGATATTTGCTGAGCCTTTAGGGACCTCAAGGTTTCGCATAAGCACAAATATTTTGGGATTACCATGCTTCTCAGAGTCAGTCACAATTTGTTGTAATCCACAAAATCAGATGCCTTTGCATAGTTAATAAAAGACAGAAAGACATTTCTCTGGTACTCTCTGCTTTCAGTCAAGATCCATCTAACATTAGCTATAACATCCCTAGTGCCACGGCCTCTTCTAAACCCAGTGCTGCCCTTTGAAATCTTTTGTTCAGCTCAATATTTTTATTTCTTCCCTTTGCTTTGGCTTCTCGGTGCTCCAGTGCAATATTCAGAGTCTCTTCTGACATCCATTTTGATTTTTCTTCCTCCTTTTTTGTAATGATGCTTTGCATTCTTCTTAGATGACATTCTTGATACCAGCTCATGTGGTCTTCGCTCATTAGTATTCAAGGCCTCAAACCTGTTCCGGAGATGGTTTTAAAGTTCAGGTGGGATAGATGCAAGGTGAAATTTTGGTTCCCAGGGATTTGGT